CTGCAGCTTATAGGGACGTGAACTGTTTCAAGTGAATACTGAAGCCTATAGGGACGTGAACTGTTTCAAGTGAATACTGCAGCCTATAGGGACGTGAACTGTTTCAAGTGAATCCTGCAGCCTATAGGGACGTGAACTGTTTCAAGTGAATACTGCAGCCTATAGGGACGTGAACTGTTTCAAGTGAATCCTGCAGCCTATGGGACGTGAACTGTTTCAAGTGAATCCTGCAGCCTATAGGGACGTGAACTGTTTCAAGTGAATACTGCAGCCTATAGGGACGTGAACTGTTTCAAGTGAATCCTGCAGCCTATAGGGACGTGAACTGTTTCAAGTGAATCCTGCAGCCTATAGGGACGTGAACTGTTTCAAGTGAATCCTGCAGCCTATAGGGACGTGAACTGTTTCAAGTGAATCCTGCAGCCTATAGGGACGTGAACTGTTTCAAGTGAATACTGCAGCCTATAGGGACGTGAACTGTTTCAAGTGAATCCTGCAGCCTATAGGGACGTGAACTGTTTCAAGTGAATCCTGCAGCCTATAGGGACGTGAAATGTTTCAAGTGAATACTGCAGCCTATAGGGACGTGAACTGTTTCAAGTGAATCCTGCAGCCTATAGGGACGTGAACTGTTTCAAGTGAATCCTGCAGCCTATAGGGACGTGAACTGTTTCAAGTGAATCCTGCAGCCTATAGGGACGTGAACTGTTTCAAGTGAATCCTGCAGCCTATAGGGACGTGAGCTGTTTCAAGTGAATCCTGCAGCCTATAGGGACGTGAACTGTTTCAAGTGAATCCTGCAGCCTATAGGGACGTGAACTGTTTCAAGTGAATCCTGCAGCCTATAGGGACGGGAACTGTTTCAAGTGAATCCTGCAGCCTATAGGGACGGGAACTGTTTCAAGTGAATACTGCAGCCGATAGGGACGTGAACTGTTTTAAGTGAATCCTGCAGCCTATAGGGACGTGAACTGTTTTAAGTGAATCCTGCAGCCTATAGGGACGTGAACTGTTTTAAGTGAATCCTGCAGCCTATAGGGACGTGAACTGTTTTAAGTGAATCCTGCAGCCTATAGGGACGTGAACTGTTTTAAGTGAATCCTGCAGCCTATAGGGACGTGAACTGTTTTAAGTGAATCCTGCAGCCTATAGGGACGTGAACTGTTTTAAGGTGGCCCTCTGAGCTTTACGGCACCTCGCCCGGAAAACAGCGTAACTTTGGTTACAATGCATATAATTGGTTCAAATTTTCAACACTAATTCCTGAGATCCCATAGTCTGATCTTCACCAGGAAAAATGGACCTCTTCACAAGCACTGTCGGTGTGGATGTGAATTTACGAAAATTGCCGTATATAGAACTCGTAACCAGCACTCAGAAATACCAATGTTTTTATCATGACATTTTTCACATGGAGTACATTCTTTACATCCAACTTGAGGTGCTAAAACAACAATACAAAGAAAACCTCAGAAAAGGTTTCCAATATCGAAAACACAAAACCATAGTCCAAATGCGCAAAAGAACGACACATGTTGGAGATGCTCTTTACAGCCTATACTACCTGAGAACAGGCCACATTGAGTTTTAGCACCTAGCCAAAGGTCCACGGATTCAGAAAATATATACTTTTGGGGGTGTAGAAGCAACAACTGAAGCCACAGCCTGGTTACAAGGTCCGGCAATGGCTGAAAAAGAGAGAAAATTGGGTACCAAAATTTGATTTATGTAAATGTGTTTTACAGGGTAAATAGTGGTGTGAGAACGGTATGATCTTATTTGGATAGGTATGTCTGTCTGTGTGTTTGCCTCCCTCTGTGTGTGTGTGTGTGTGTGTGTGTGTGTGTGTGTGTGTGTGCGCGTTTGTGTGTATGTCTGTATGAAATTTTTAAACCAACTTGCAATTATTGGAATTTACTATTATTATTTCGAAATTTCACATGTATTCACCTATGTTCAGGCGGCTATATCTCCGGAACGGCTTTGAATATCGCCCTCAAATTTTTTTGTGTGTTCTTGGATGATATAGGAAGGATTTGACTGCACTTTGGGAGCAATCCAAGAAAGTCGGTTTTTTGACCCCCAAAGCTCAGAGGGCCACCTTAAGTGAATCCTGCAGCCTATAGGGACGTGAACTGTTTTAAGTGAATCCTGCAGCCTATAGGGACGTGAACTGTTTCAAGTGAATCCTGCAGCCTATAGGGACGTGAACTGTTTTAAGTGAATCCTGCAGCCTATAGGGACGTGAACTGTTTTAAGTGAATCCTGCAGCCTATAGGGACGTGAACTGTTTCAAGTGAATACTGCAGCCTATAGGGACGTGAACTGTTTCAAGTGAATACTGCAGCCTATAGGGACGGGAACTGTTTCAAGTGAATACTGCAGCCTATAGGGACGTGAACTGTTTCAAGTGAATACTGCAGCCTATAGGGACGGGAACTGTTTCAAGTGAATACTGCAGCCTATAGGGACGGGAACTGTTTCAAGTGAATACTGCAGCCTATAGGGACGTGAACTGTTTCAAGTGAATACTGCAGCCTATAGGGACGGGAACTGTTTCAAGTGAATACTGCAGCCTATAGGGACGTGAACTGTTTCAAGTGAATACTGCAGCCTATAGGGACGGGAACTGTTTCAAGTGAATACTGCAGCCTATAGGGACGGGAACTGTTTCAAGTGAATCCTGCAGCCTATAGGGACGGGAACTGTTTCAAGTGAATACTGCAGCCTATAGGGACGGGAACTGTTTCAAATGAATACTGCAGCCTATAGGGACGGGAACTGTTTCAAGTGAATACTGCAGCCTATAGGGACGGGAACTGTTTCAAGTGAATACTGCAGCCTATAGGGACGGGAACTGTTTCAAGTGAATCCTGCAGCCTATAGGGACGGGAACTGTTTCAAGTGAATACTGCAGCCTATAGGGACGGGAACTGTTTCAAATGAATACTGCAGCCTATAGGGACGGGAACTGTTTCAAGTGAATACTGCAGCCTATAGGGACGTGAACTGTTTCAAGTGAATACTGCAGCCTATAGGGACGGGAACTGTTTCAAGTGAATACTGCAGCCTATAGGGACGGGAACTGTTTCAAGTGAATACTGCAGCCTATAGGGACGTGAACTGTTTCAAGTGAATACTGCAGCCTATAGGGACGGGAACTGTTTCAAGTGAATACTGCAGCCTATAGGGACGGGAACTGTTTCAAGTGAATACTGCAGCCTATAGGGACGGGAACTGTTTCAAGTGAATACTGCAGCCTATAGGGACGGGAACTGTTTCAAGTGAATACTGCAGCCTATAGGGACGGGAACTGTTTCAAGTGAATCCTACAGCCTATAGGGACGTGAACTGTTTCAAGTGAATACTGCAGCCTATAGGGACGTGAACTGTTTCAAGTGAATACTGCAGCTTATAGGGACGTGAACTGTTTCAAGTGAATACTGAAGCCTATAGGGACGTGAACTGTTTCAAGTGAATACTGCAGCCTATAGGGACGTGAACTGTTTCAAGTGAATCCTGCAGCCTATAGGGACGTGAACTGTTTCAAGTGAATACTGCAGCCTATAGGGACGTGAACTGTTTCAAGTGAATCCTGCAGCCTATGGGACGTGAACTGTTTCAAGTGAATCCTGCAGCCTATAGGGACGTGAACTGTTTCAAGTGAATACTGCAGCCTATAGGGACGTGAACTGTTTCAAGTGAATCCTGCAGCCTATAGGGACGTGAACTGTTTCAAGTGAATCCTGCAGCCTATAGGGACGTGAACTGTTTCAAGTGAATCCTGCAGCCTATAGGGACGTGAACTGTTTCAAGTGAATCCTGCAGCCTATAGGGACGTGAACTGTTTCAAGTGAATACTGCAGCCTATAGGGACGTGAACTGTTTCAAGTGAATCCTGCAGCCTATAGGGACGTGAACTGTTTCAAGTGAATCCTGCAGCCTATAGGGACGTGAACTGTTTCAAGTGAATACTGCAGCCTATAGGGACGTGAACTGTTTCAAGTGAATCCTGCAGCCTATAGGGACGTGAACTGTTTCAAGTGAATCCTGCAGCCTATAGGGACGTGAACTGTTTCAAGTGAATCCTGCAGCCTATAGGGACGTGAACTGTTTCAAGTGAATCCTGCAGCCTATAGGGACGTGAGCTGTTTCAAGTGAATCCTGCAGCCTATAGGGACGTGAACTGTTTCAAGTGAATCCTGCAGCCTATAGGGACGTGAACTGTTTCAAGTGAATCCTGCAGCCTATAGGGACGGGAACTGTTTCAAGTGAATCCTGCAGCCTATAGGGACGGGAACTGTTTCAAGTGAATACTGCAGCCGATAGGGACGTGAACTGTTTTAAGTGAATCCTGCAGCCTATAGGGACGTGAACTGTTTTAAGTGAATCCTGCAGCCTATAGGGACGTGAACTGTTTTAAGTGAATCCTGCAGCCTATAGGGACGTGAACTGTTTTAAGTGAATCCTGCAGCCTATAGGGACGTGAACTGTTTTAAGTGAATCCTGCAGCCTATAGGGACGTGAACTGTTTTAAGTGAATCCTGCAGCCTATAGGGACGTGAACTGTTTTAAGTGAATCCTGCAGCCTATAGGGACGTGAACTGTTTTAAGTGAACCCTGCAGCCTATAGGGACGTGAACTGTTTTAAGTGAATCCTGCAGCCTATAGGGACGTGAACTGTTTTAAGTGAATCCTGCAGCCTATAGGGACGTGAACTGTTTTAAGTGAATCCTGCAGCCTATAGGGACGTGAACTGTTTTAAGTGAATCCAGGGCTACGCCATTGTTGTGTGTACAGTCAGACCTCGCTTTTCCGGTCCTCTTTTATCCGGATCTCTCGTCATCCGGAAGAAAATTGTTGGTTACAGCATATGCCATGCAAACACACAGTATGTGTGTTCGATTATCCGGTTCCCTCGCCTATCTGGATATTTTTGTGGAAAACGGATGTATGCGTTTATGCGAGGTCTGACTGTATTCTGTTGGTGTGTTGCCTAGGTGATGTCAAGCAGCTCTGACGGATTGCAGTTCAGGCACAAGCAGGACCGACGCTTCATTAACGTTGATCCCAAGGTGAGGGGTTTGTGTGTGTTTGTGTGTGTGTGTGTGTGTGTGTGTGTGTGTGTGTGCGTGCGTGCGTGCCCGTGCGTGCAAGCATGTGTGTGTGTGTGTTTGTGTGTGTGTGTGTGTGTGTGTGTGTGTGTGTGTGTGTGTGTGTGTGTGTGTGTGTGTGTGTGTGTGTGTGTGTGTGTGTGCGTGTGCAAGGGACTAAAAATAGAAAGGGACAATGGAGAAGGACATCCGTTGCAACGTCAAGACGTGGATGGAGGAGCCGTCTTCCAAGTACATGGAAAGAGCTTAGCAGAGAGACGTAAAAAGCTGAGAGCCGGGAGCCGGGACGGTGATTTGATGTTGTCACTTTCAGTTGTGCCCGATGTCGCCGCTCGTGGAGGTTTGACAAGCCCCCGAGTGGATTTAGAACATTGCGCAATGAAATTTGAAATTTGTTACAGAGAAGAGAGGGAGCCGGAGACAAGCTCCCACGCGTACTCTGTCTTGCTCTCTGATGGCTCTCCGTGGCCCACGTGATCCCTGTTACTATGCGTGTTCAGTGAGAGAAGAAAAGAGAGGGTACAGTCAGACCTCGCTTAACCGCACACATCCGTTTTCCACAAAAATATCCGGATAGGCGAGGGAACCGGATAATCGAACACACATACTGTGTGTATGCATGGCATATGCTGTAAATCGGTAACCGACGATTTTCTACCGGATGGCGAGGGATCCGGATAAACGAGGACCGGATAAACGAGGACCGGATAAACGAGGTCTGACCGTATGTGGGGTATGACCAATACACAGTGAATGCCTGCCCACAAGGAGGTGGGTTGGGGGAGAACGACTAATGGTTTATGTATCCCTGCCGGAAGAGGGAGTGAGGGGTATGCTCAATGCACTGTGTACCCCTGCTCGAGGAGGGGGGGGGGGGGGGGGCAATGCTTTGGACTACTGTTTCATTTTTCTTTTTGAAAAGTTCTTGGATCTCTCGGCCTCTCTCCCTCCCTTCTTCCCTACCTCTCCCTCTCTCTCCCTTTCCCTCCCTCTCTCTCGACTTTGCAGGTGAAGGATCCCGGCCTGGGTACGATGAGGGTTGTCATAGCGACGGATGAATATCTGCAAGTCACCATCTATGAGCACAACCCTCACAGAACTCTTTGAGAAGGCAGGCAGGGGCTGATGATTGATGACATCATCACGCCGAGGACGAGGAGCACTAGCTGGTGACATCATACAGAGGAGCACTAACTGGTGACATCATCATCCGGGGGACCACTAACTGATAACATCATCATACCGGGGAGCACTAACTGGTGACATCATCATACTGGGGGACCACTGACTGATGACATCATCATACCTGCTGGATGGCAGAGTGGCTACACATTCTCATGTGTAGCTACCAGTTGACGCCGATTGTCTCAACGAGCCACCGGCACAGAACTTGATCATATGTAGTTATATTTGTATTGGATCACACATGTCCTGAGAAGATATTTCGTTGCATAACTGATCACAGTTTTGGTGTAGTATTAATCTTACGGGCACTTGGTACATCTCTCATGCACAGGAAGGTATCCGTCAAGCAATGTGTCGTGTTCTTCTTTCTTAGTTTTTTACTATCTGGAGACATTCTGTCTGTGTACATAGCTCTACAGAGGTAATGAGTCGGGGGGGGGGGGGGGGCAATAGAAGAATACAAGGCATGTAGGTGTGTGTGTGTATGTGGGGGGGGGGGGCAATAATGGGCACCAGTGGGCATGGGGTGTATGACATGATTGTGAACGCCTGACGTGGTGCCGGTGCATTCTGGAGTGGATATAATGTTGTTAGTTTGGAGGCGATGGCTTTCGGTGGTTGGATTGCACGCAGGTTTGTTGGGCCTAAACTGTTGTCCGACAAGAGAGATGAGCTGTCTGTGTGCGTTTGCACGTTTCCCACGAGCCTTGGTGCGCGTTCCAATTACCGGCACGTGTAACGTTAACAAAGTTAATAATCCTGCTGACCGCATGCTACTGTTAACTAACTGGCTTTTTTAAAACAAAAAACTACACACCATTTGACGGCACAAAGCATGCAGCAAGGCAGCGCTGAGACATTACCGAACGGCAGGAGTGGTGGAGAGGTAGGGGCAGCTTTACCGACCATAGGGTCTCGCCCCTTAATTGCGTTTTTACGTACCCGTCACGTTTTGCACACAGGGTAAACACACATTTTTGGACAGAATTTATTCAGTGTATAATGTGCCAAAACCCGGCTCCATTTCAACTTGTAGACGAATACCAGAATTTGCCTTAAAAACAATTAGTCTCTTAGAATCTATCTCGAGTTATTTAAGGATCGAAATTGAAATTTTTAGAATCTCGATTGAGAATAATGATTGCAAGAATCTACGTGACATGAGAGTTTAGATGGAGATTTAGCAGAATATACCTATCAAAATGTGTACGCAGTGCAAGCGAGGCATTAGCAGCTATCCCGGCAGATTCGTCGCGCCAAAGTGATCGGGAGATTATCATGAAGCACATTTAACGCTCGCCATTCCTTCCTTTGCACTCCTGAAGGGGTAACGAGACTAAACGGATTTCTCTATTGCTTACAAAAAGTATAATTCACAGTTTTTTGTTAGCCACAGGGTCTAAAAATATTGTGAAGAATTCCGAGTTTTGAATTTAGCAATGAACAAACTTACTTGAAAGGCTACCATAAACTTTATGAGTTGCATGGTATGTTGTATGCAGCAAAATGAAATACAGGCGTTTTCAGCCTGTGCTGAAAATCATGCTCTGCACTGTATTCGGAGTTCGTTTTTGAGCTCGCTCGCTCGTCGTGACCGGCCGACTACTTCGGCCATACCAGGGTTGCCTTGACGCCCGACACCTTCTTGAACGACAGCGGTGTGCCGGTGGCGGCCGGTTCGCTGTCCAGTGTTCGGTTCTTGCCCTCGACTACGAACGTCAGCTCATTGGAAATCTGCAAAACATGGCAAAAACAAATCAATGTTTTGTATTGTATTGATTAAGACTAGCAACGTAATGGCAGTTGCACCACTGTAGAAAAGGAATGAAAAGATGATCAAACAGACGCACAAGAGATTTTAAAAAGAATGCAAAGACGTATTTTGTTGCAACATTATTGTAATAAAAAAGGAGAAGGACAAAATGTTACGAGTTACGACTAATTACTGTCCACCAACGTAACCAGATTATTATACAGTCAGCGAGTGCGACAAAATGTTAGTCATAACTCGTAACATTTTGTCCTTCTTCTCTGTTCTTTTTACCATAAATAAATTGGCATACTGTAAGACATGTTATTATAACGAGTCGCAAATTTAACGATTGTCCAAAATTCATAGGTTAACGAGAAGATATGTTAACGATCTTGCAGTATTCTGCCATATCCACACACAGCATATATGAAGCAGTACGGCCTCAACGGATCTTATTATAACGAAGAAATGTCATCCGTTAAAACGTTAGATTTGCTTCCTCGTTATATGTACATGTCTTACAGTACCATCCGAGTTTAACATTATTGTAATTATTTCATTAAAACCTCAGATGGTGAGCCAAGGAAAAAATTACACAACGTGGAAATAATTGTGGGCACAAGTTATGCGATCGAGTCCACCAACTAAACCAGATTTTGAACAGTCAGACGTGCACAATCTAGCACAAAACTGACAAGGAATTAGCACTAATATCCATGAACCTTCCAAGTTGGAAGGCCGTTGGTTAGCGCTATCGAGCAGTGCTCAAGCTGACTTCATGCCGTGGAATGTCTCAGTACTCCTTGTCAGTTTTGTGCTAGACTGTGCACGTCTGACTGTTCAAAATCTGGTTTAGTTGGTGGACTCGATCGCATAACTTGTGCCCACAATTTAATTGTTGTAATTTTTCAACATAATTTTTTTCGTGTCTTGGCACGAGGGAATAATGGATGCAGTGAATGTTATTTTGTGTGTCCCGGGTGCACGCAGGGTGCTACCCCCCCCCCTCCCCTGGCTAGAATTCGGAATTCTGTCTGAACTATAGTGTTCACAGGATATGTAGAGTCTTACTGTGACAGCGATCTTGCGGCCTTGCTTGCGCAGAATGGTCTGATAGAGAACTGCCAGCAGCTCGGCAACACGGCGGCCATTGGCCAGCGCAAACACCAGGTCACCTTCCGCATGGTCCTGGCCACAGGACAGAGCGCACAACGGCGAGTGAATAAACGGAAGCCATTACAATCTTAGTGCAGTACACCCTACAACGTTGATCAATGAAGAACTGGCTGTAAAATATTGATTTGACAGAAGAAAAGGTTCCAGGCTGTCCAAAGGACTGCTCAGTGCCCGAAGGCAGAGCTAGTTACAACAAGTAGAAGACAATGGAAAATAAGTATAACAAATTGTTCACCCTCTTCTCCTTCTTGCGGTATTAATACTATATGATGGGAGAACTTCAAATTCAATATGAAAAAGTCAGGGAAAGGAACAGCCTGAAAAGAGAAAAATACGCCACCACACCAGGACTCGAGCCCAGGACCTTCCTCGTCATGAGCGATGCTACGAGGCACTAGAGTATGCACTGTGTGTGAAGAGAAAGCTGGTCACCAACTTCTGCATCGCACCTGAAACCTGGGCGGGTCCCCGACACGGACATTTTAACACACCCAAAACTACATGTCGCACTGTATCTCACTGACCTTCAAGTGCACGACCATTCCCGGTGCACCGTTCTTGAACACACTGACGCCGGTGACCGTTTGCAACGACAACGGCGGCTTCTTCTTGTTCACCGCAAACTCCGGCAGCTCCAGTCGGAACAGATTGGCCTCAGACAGCACGTACGCACGGCTGCTTGTCTTCATGTTGCGACCGAGTTTCTCCCCCGTCGCCGAGTAGATGAATGTGTTGTCACCAAACTGAGAGCGTAGAGCAGCAGCCTGTCATGGACAATTGGAAACAGGCACACACACACACACGCACACACGCACGCACGCACGCACTCACACACACGCACGCACACACACACACACACACACACACACACACACACACACACACACAGAGTGCTTTCTCAACCTCCCGCGCCCACTCCGTGATGCAGTCTCTCGCATATTCTCGCTCACGCTTGAGCACTCACTCTGTCGACGGCAAGAGCAGCTTTACCTGTTCATTGAACTTGGGACAGAGTGGGTTGGTAGGTTGGGCCAGAGCATTGCCAGGCCACGTTGCCGAGACTCCCCAGTTATCCATCTTGCCACCACCGAAGAACTCCGCCGCGATGATCTTCATCTTTACATGCTCCTGCAAAGCAAGGACAGGCACAGGTACACGTTGTGAAAGAAGCATGTGACCCCAACTGCCCAGGAGGTGAAACTTTTTAGAATTACGGGTATGGGTGTGGCACATAAGATAGTATGGGTGTGGCACATAAGATACAAATAATTGCAAGAACGCTTTGACGGAGTATTCATACAGGGTTGAAAACTCCAGGTGACAAGAAATAAAACAATACATTACTATTCCTATCTACAGGTAACAGGCTTTATTGCATAATACTGCACAGCAGTTTTTGTTCCCCCAAACACCATGGCCCTGCGCTGACATTGCCAGTGCAGGTGGAGCTACTTTGAAGTACCCTTACAGCGGGGTAAGATTTAAAAATTGTCAACTTCTGAGTATGTATGGATTCGGATGGAGAGCCGATGAATATTTTTTAGGAAAGAAAAAAAGGACCAAGGAACTACAAGTTACACTATAATGTCCACTAACACCACCAGTTACTAAACAATCAGCTCATGCGATAACATTGCACGACACTGACCGACCGGCAGTTAGTTGTAGAATGTCAATACCGTTGGTCAGTGTCGTGCAATGTTATCGCATGAGCTGATTGTTTAGTAACTGGTGGTGTTAGTGGACATTATAGTGTAACTTGTAGTTCCTTGGTCCTTTTTTTCTTGTCTGAGTATGTCTTAGGACATTCACACCCCTGGTCTGGTGCCACCTCCAACCATTGAGTTTGAGTTTTTCTATGAGACTTTTCTTGGAGATATGTTAGATGCAGTTCATCCGAACAACCAACTACGTGTTTCATCTCACATTGAGCAAATACAGTGAAACTTGTCTAAGACGACCACTCGAGGGACCTTCAAGGCATGGTCTTTGTTCCCAGGTGGTCTCCTTATCCAGGGTCATCTGACTGGGTGTAGCATCCCTTGGTCCTGCTTGTAGTGATCTTCTGGGACAGGTGGTCGCCTTATGCGAGTGGTCGCCTTGACAAGTTGTGCCGTTGTTGTACGTTATTTTGTGTATGTCGTGTGTACGTCGTGTGTACGTCGTGTGTACGTGGTGTTGGTGCATGCGCATGTTGCTGGGGTGTGAAAAGCAGTCTTCGTCTTGAGTTCGTCATGTCTAGTTGTGTTTCCGTAGTCGTCTTGTAATAAACAGTCTTTCTAAATGTAGTTATCGCCGTGCCAGTGTATAAGTGTGTGGAGATGACACGGGGCTGGGAGCAGGTGGAGAAAAGCTAATCACGCAACAATACCGTAGTGGTAGAGCTATCATCCCCTCACATCTCTCTCTGTGAGCGTTTCTCACCTGTTCTGCCGGCGTCAGTCGCTGGACAACCATCCTAGCTCTCCAGTACTTGTGTATGGTCTTCATCATGGCCAGGCCTTGCTGCAAGACAGGCGGTGCGTCCGGCCAGCTCAGCGACACGCCCAGGTCGGGCAGCAGACGCACATCGCGGAACGTCTCGTTCACCTTGCTGAAAAACAGGCGGTTGCGGTACGACCTAAAAGAAGAATGACGAGATAATGCCGTTGATTTAGCTAGAATACCGCCAGATCACTGAGATTTCAGAAATTTTCGATGTCCCTTTATTTTCGGTACTTTCGGAGCTTTTCTTACCTAAAATTTCCCATACACTTGTCTTGGTTGCGCTCACCTTCCCCTCCTATGTTACTTCTAAAACTTAGAACCTTCCTGGAAGGCTGTTGGAGTGCGCATCCAAGACGTGCTAGAGATGATTACCGGTTAGTTGTAGAACGTCAGTTCCGTTGGTCAGCGTCGTGCAATGTTATCGCATGAGCTGATTGCTTTGTAACTGGTGGTGTTCGTGGACATTATAGTGTAACTTGTAGCTCCTTGGTTCTTTTTTCTTCTGATAAAGTAATTCAGTGTTCTTTCCGCCTGTTTCATGTTCACCAGTGTTTATAGTAAAAAAAATAAAAAACCTGTACAGCAATGAACACAGGAGGTGATTGGAATATGCCCGTTGCGCAATGACGTAATTTGTACCGTCAACACCCCACACAGCCACCTGGGCATGGTCGTCTGGGGGTGTTGAACAGTGCATTGCTGATCCCAGTGTACTCACATAACACCCCACACAGCCACCTGGGCATGGTCGTCTGGGGTGTTGAACAGTGCATTGCTGATCCCAGTGTACTCACATAACACCCCACACAGCCACCTGGGCATGGTCGTCTGGAGTGTTGAACAGTGCATCCCTGATCACATTGTACTCACATGCATTACTCATACCTTCCATATTTCAATGCGCAATGGGCTTATACGGGAGCAGGACATGGGGGGGGGGGGGGGAGGGGGTACAGTCAATTTGGCTAATAACGACAGCGGATATAGCGACAATTCGCGAATAACGACAGATTTTCCATGCCCAGAGCAAAGTCCTATCCAACTGTAATACATATAATGAGACTTCGGGTATAAGGACACTTCGCGAATAAGGACACTTTTCTGATGCCGTGCCGAGAGTCGTTAAGCGCAAAGTTGACTGTATAGCTTACTTGTATCTGCGCTTGATACACACGATGGCCTTCAGACGTCGGAAGTATTTCCTTGCCAACCAGGCGCGCCATGCCGTCTGTATGATAGTTGCCTGTAGTAGAGGGAGACGGATACACGCATTAGCCGATTGCAAGCAAGATACACATGTGCCTCTCACAGACGGGAAAGAAAACAAAAGACGTGCCAGAGCTGGTGGAGAATGAACGAGAGAAATCGTTTCACTCAAATTCGGTGCTTGTTTTGTGGTGCCCAGCCAGAAATGAAGACACAATGTTGTTGTGCATGGAGAAGATGAAGTTGAGTTGGGTACTGGGAGGAAGTGGTGAGAGAGGGGCTACCAGTGAATAGAGTAACGTAATGCACCCTGTCCTGGAACAATTCTCTCTTCAACACCAACCGAGTCCGTTATCTATGCTGCCTGATGATTGCGAGAGCATGAAACTTGAAGTAGCAGCAAACAAGCCGTGATTGTCCTTGTTGTTCTGTATGCTTCAACATAAACCATGTTGTACGCACTATAAGTCACACTTTAAGCACCAGTGTTCACTGAATAAAAGTAGGTGCGGCTCATAGTACGATGGTGAAACTGATGGTGAAAAACAGGGTAGGTGTCTAGATTTCGTAACACGAAACTCTGGGTGCAGCTTACATTCCAGTGAGGCATATACACTGGAATCTACGGTAGTTGCCAGTAGGATGCAGGGGCGTACCTCGCACATCTGTGGTGCCATGAACCCATACTACAGTCGTTCCTCTCTAATCCAGCACTTTATAAACCAGCATACTTTTCAGCAACCAAAATGTCCTTTTCATGCACATTTCAGCAATAAATCAGATTTTCTAATCCAGCACCCTCCCTAATCCAGCACCCTCCCTAATCCAGCACCCTCCCTAATCCAGCAGAACTTCCGTTGCGCAAATGGTGCCGGATTAGAATGGGACCACTGCATAGCATATATCTGTGGTGTGGTGACCATGTGCCTCATATTCGCTAATTTTTACCGAAATTGACTGTGCAGTACACATGCCAACCATCTGCAGATGCAGTGACCAGACTACGATGACTGTATACGAGCTACAGTCAACTTCGCTAATAACGACTGTGGATATAACGACAATTCGCGAATGACGACAGAATTTCCATGCCCAGAGCAAAGTCCCATCCAACTGTAAAACATAATAATGGCACTTCGCGAATAACGACACTTTTCTGATGCCCCGCCGAGTGTCGTTATACGTAAAGTTGACTGTGCGCATCTGGGATCTCTCTGTAACCCTGGCTTACCATTCTGGGCATTTCCGCTAGCCGCTTCTGTTCCAGTGAGAAGACGGTGTTGGGACGTTTGATGAACACTTTGGTCTTGCCCATCGTCAGCTCGCTCTGCATGCCGTGACAAGGTTTCGACACGTGTGCACATACATACACACACGTGCAAATACACACAAACACACGCACATGTGTGTGCACACCCACACAGGTGCATGCGTACAAACACGCACATACACACACACCCACACACCCACCCACACATACACACACACAAACACACACACACACACACAAACACAAACACAGAAAAGCATACACAAACGCACAGCAAAGTTTAGCTATCGTACTCCAATTATAGGTAAGAATCAATCTCATCCCGAGGATTCTAAGAGTACAGCAAGTGTGCGTTGTAGACACCGGTACCTCTAGCAATACGTGTAGCGGTGCAGGACTGTATCCCCCGGTCCAGCCAGTCAGGCCCCGGCCAAAGCTTATTTTGAAAAAGTTGACCCAACCAATTACAGTAGAGCGCCGATTATCCACACGTCAACTATTCGGATGATCGATTTTCCGGATTGCCTGGTCGGGCTGGACAAAAACAAAATTAGGAGGTTTTTCGAGGTTTTTGCTGATTTTTGCTGCTCAGAGCATCAATCAAGCGATGCGCGAGACGTATCACAACAGTTCGGAGTCAACATGCATAGCGATAGTGTCATTTTGAGGAGCTGGAGTGCATCTAGTTTCCGTTATTCTGTCGACGAGAATGAAAAATGTGACAGCATGCATATTTTAGATAGATGTGTGACTGCTTCCTTATCCGAACATTCTTCTCATCCGAACACCCTTGAGACAGCCGGTGCGCCGAGTGGTGTGGATAATCGCCACTCTACTGTCGTGCAAAACTGGGGTTTTCGTGAAAAGTGTACATTTAGCAAAAGTTCTACTTACATTGATCTTGAGAGCATTGACAATGGCCTCACACCCGGCTTTGCTGTCCTTCTTCCAACGTGGCCATGTCTCCTTGCTCAGCATCTTGTACCTGTGGATCAGACAAACACACACAGACACACAGACACCCACGCACACACCCACATACGCACGCGCACACACACACACACACACACACACACACACACACACACGCACACAGGGATAGAGAAGATAGAGAGAAAGTCACAAGCAATGCGTCAATATCTGGGTTATAATGTTATAACTAGGGTTTGCATAAGACTCGGACTGAATTGTCCGCATCAGTAGGAGCTCCACCACCTGCGAAGATCAAGTAACAGATGCAGACTACTTCTAAAGCAGTCGAAGGTGAGTGGATCAGACGTAGATGGATAGCTAGCATCGGAGTCTTCAGGTAATTAAACAGTTTACTAAGAAGAGTCACCAACAGTGCAACCATCAGGCACACGAGAGTACCGTACGTCCGGAGTGCACGCCGCACCCAGACGTTTGTCACGAAATACAAAGCATCTACCCTATTTAGTATTTATCACCATTCATATCGACCATCGCGGTAGAAGTCACACCGACTTACTTACTGAATCACTGGTGTATAAAAAGTGTGGTTTATACTTCTGAAAATACAGCACTGGATTGCTTACCTCTCAAGGAACAGCTCGTGCTTCTGTCGATAGGAGTAGCCAGCGCGGCGAACACGCACATTCTCCATTAGTCCCAAGTAGCGAACCTGGTGCACCACCAGCTCCAAGTCAAACTCACCAGCGGCCTTCGCTGCGTTCGGCTTGATGCAGCGTACGTAGTACGGCTCCTGAGGTCAACACCGCACATTACACAAGCACACATGAGCACACACATTCCACCCACACCGCACATTAGACATAGTTAGCATTTCGCCGTTCACGCTGAATCCAACAGAACTCGTACCCAACACCCAAAATACCGTCGGTTTGGTATCGTTCCGACGATAGAAAGCTCTGTTTAGCGAGAGAACGAAATGGTAAGATTCCAACTAGGGTTATGTCACAAGTCGATTGTTGTATCAGAAACCGAAATGCTGACCATGTCTTGAAAACACACAGACAACGGTACAGGCCGACGGTCGGAGTTAGCGTGAACGGAAAAAAGCTAACCATGTCTAGTGTAGAAACACAACACCCAACACGTCCCCCAATACAACGCACGTTGCCATTGCACAAAACAAAACTAGTCAAGCACCCGCAACTGCATGATCATGTGACCGTGCATAACAAGCAATCATTACCAACTGCATGATCATGTGACCGTGCATAACAAGCAATCATTACCAACTGCATGATCATGTGACCGTGCATAACAAGCAATCATTACCAACTGCATGATCATGTGACCGTGCATAACAAGCAATCATTACCAACTGCATGATCATGTGACCGTGCATAACAAGCAATCATTACCAACTGCATGATCATGTGACCGTGTGCATAACAAGCAATCATTACCAACTGCATGATCATGTGACCGTGCATAACAAGTAATCATTACCAACTGCATGATCATGTGACCGTGCATAACAAGCAATCATTACCAACTGCATGATCATGTGACCGTGCATAACAAGCAATCATTACCAACTGCATGATCATGTGACCGTGCATAACAAGCAATCATTACCAACTGCATGATCATGTGACCGTGCATAACAAGCAATCATTACCAACTGCATGATCATGTGACCGTGCATAACAAGCAATCATTACCAACTGCATGATCATGTGACCGTGCATAACAAGCAATCATTACCAACTGCATGATCATGTGACCGTGCATAACAAGCAATCATTACCAACTGCATGATCATGTGACCGTGCATAACAAGTAATCATTACCAACTGCATGATCATGTGACCGTGCATAACAAGCAATCATTACCAACTGCATGATCATGTGACCGTGCATAACAAGCAATCATTACCAACTGCATGATCATGTGACCGTGCATAACAAGCAATCATTACCAACTGCATGATCATGTGACCGTGCATAACAAGCAATCATTACCAACTGCATGATCATGTGACCGTGCATAACAAGCAATCATTACCAAGCTGACATGGACTCAAATCTATTACTGTATAGCAGGACATTTTCGGACGGAAATATTTTCGGACAAAGCCGAATTTCGACCTTTCGTACAGATTTTATTTTCGTACAGTGCTAGTGATGCATGCTAAACGCACGTGTTCGCATGCGGTGCGCACGTATAGTGCACATAACTTCAAAGGAACAAATTTTAGTACGGAATTAATTTTAGTACAAAGAGGCCGTGTACGAAATTGTACGAAAATAAATTCCGCCCGAAAATTTCCTACTATACAGTATGTTGCTTGCACCTACACCATTATCAATGACCACACTAATGAATGACCTCTTTCATTGGCGATGGTGCCATCATGAGAATAAAGAATTCAAAAATGCCCCCCCCCCCCCCCCCCACACACACACACAAACAAGCACACCTGCAGGCACACGGGCAAGCACGCATGCAGGCACACATTTTCAAGGCTGTGCTGAAGCCAGCTGTGCCAATACCACAAGTCCCTCAAGCGAGTTGTTATGACTACCAGCCATGGTGTTGGAATGTAGTTCGATTGCACCCATAACACTACCCCATTCGACAAAGCATGTCTGCCTTTTACGACAAACAAGGTGTTCCAGCACGTTGTTTTCATAATCATATTCATATCGTCTACACATTTGCACATACGCACATGCACGCAGCAACATGTAGACTGAGAGAGAGAGAGAGAGAGAGAGAGAGTCAGATAGATGGATGGATAGATGGATAGATAGATAAATAGAGAGATAGAGAGAAACACACACACACACGCGCGCACTCACACACACACAGGGGGAGACAGTGACAGAAAGAGAGAGTGTGCGAGAGAGAGACAGAGACACAAAGAGAGAGAGAGAGAGAGAGAGAGAGAGAGAGAGAGAGATAGAGATAGAGATAAAGAGAGGCAGAGATTTACCTTGCTTGCCAGTGTGTCCACCAGCGTTGCCATGGACAACTTGAATCCGGTCGCAGTGCTGTGTGGTCTCTTGGTCACCTCACTTTCAGAGCTAGCACCCTGTAGTGCAGATAGTGCACAAACAATAAAAGTGTGTGATTACACAGACAGAAGAGCGAGCAGTTGCGGTTTCGTAACTCTGAGTTTCACGAGATTAATCGATCATTAGACGAAAATTGAGCCCTCTACGGACGTTGGATGAGCCGCACATGTGTGTAATTAGAAGTGTACATGGGAAAAAAACACTGGTGAGATGACTGGTACTGTGATCAGCATCGACAACATGGGATTATTTCCAACCCAGGGGCGTCGGAACCGGTGCGGCAGGTGCGACCAAAGCCGCACCAATAATTTTCGAAGTTTTTTATTTTATTTTTTTACATTTCAACCTTGTTGGTGGCTTGTCGACTCTTATACAGGTACCATGTTTTACATCGACAATGCGGTGTATCATCAGCATGCATATTCTTATTTCTCACATTATTCTGTAGCGTTAAAATATGGCCTTTTAGGCCCAATTTTCAAATTTTTTCCCCGGGGGAGGACCCCGGACCCCCCTCTCACACTTTTGCCGCACCAATGTCAAACTCCTTCCGACACCCCTGCAACCCCCATCTTTACGGGAGAATGAAGTTAAAGAATGGTGGTGGTGGTGGTGATGAGAAGGAGAGCTCTGTGCCAGAACTGTGCAGCCTAGAGAGCGTGTGTGGGCAGGCGTGTCTTTACCGCCATATTGCCAGGTGCGTCTTTACCACAAGCACCATCTTTAGGGCTAGGACATTTCTTATTTAGTTGGACTGCACACAGGGAACGTGCAAAAGAGAAATTGACCCAGCTACGGAGATATGCCATGGGAGAGAGAGAGAGAGAGAGAGAGAGAGAGAGAGAGAGAGAGAGAGAGAGAGAGAGAGAGAGAGAGAGAGAGAGAGAGAGAGAGAGGGAAAGGGACATGGACAGCGACAGGGAAAGAGAGAGGGAAGAGGGATAGGGAGAGGGAGAGAGGGAAGAGGGAGAGGGAGAGAGAGAGAGAGAGGGAAGAGTGATAGAGAAATAGATAAAGAGACTGGGGAGGGGAGTAAGACGGAGAGCAGGACAGCCGGAACCGGTCCGGTTTGTTCGGTTATTACCGGACCAACTTGTCAGCCACCAATACATGTTTCCGAAAGTGGAAAGCAGGTGTACCCGCCATATCCTACACTAAGTATGAATGGCCATGGTACTACTGGACCAATCAAAAACCGCTTCCGGCGGTCCTGGAGAGGAAGGCAATATATGTAGAGCTTGTGAAACACAACCAATGCGAAGGTGGCTGGAGGTTAGGAGAGAGCGAGGCAATGGCACCTAACAGAACTTGAAATTACCTCAGGCCACATGTCTTTGAGCATCTGCCTGTCACAGCTGTACAGGAGTCTCTTCAAGTCCTGAAACAGTGTGTCCTGCAAGGCAAAATCCAGCCACAGTACAGACATACATGTATAATGATGAACTCAGCACCCAGATCACAATAAAACTATGCTATTGGCCTGGAAGTTTTTTATTTGGGGGGGGGGGGGGTGGGTGCTGAGTAGGTTCATGTTATAGATTGATCTATTATTAATATTAGTCGTACGATCTACGATCTACGTTCTGCTACGTGTGTCGTTCTACGTGTGTTCTACGTGTGTCGTTCTACGCTCCTTTGATGCATGCATGACGAAGAGTGATAATGTCTTACCTCATTATGAATCAGTCTTCTTCTGCATTACGTCTGCATGGCTGACGTGTGTCTTACTTTGGTACGAGCTGACGAGGCCTATACTGTCGTGTCATAGCGCCATTAGTGCCACGACAGCACTGACGTGTCTCTGCTGCTTATCTCTCCATGATTGCCATTTTACATGTTCACTTCTAAATTATCCTAGAACAAACCAGATGGTGTTTCCTGCTGTGGTATACGCGAGTTGCATGGAATGAATCTTGCGTGCGTACGTTATAACAATTGGCGACGAAGATGAGCGTTTGTAGTAACCTAAGCACAGCCCACAAGCTTCCAGTTTTCGAATACCGGGGCACGCCAGCAGAAGTGTCCTCTCGCTGGAAGAAATGGCTACGAAGCTTTACGTACATGGCTGAAGGCCAAGGGATTACGGATCACAAACGGCTGAAAAATTTATTGCTGCATACTGCCGGAACACAGGTTCAGGACTTATTCGAAGACCTCGAAGATCCACAGGCGTCGGCCCTGCCTGCGGATGACAACGAGTACAAGGTTACGTTACGGAAACTGAACGAACATTTCAAGGCCGCGCCACATCCTGTATACGAGCGTCACGTGCTGCGCCAGATGACCTTTGCTAAGAATGAGTCGGTGAGTCAGTTTGTTGTAAGATTACGCGTCCAGGCCCGCTTGTGTGATTTTGGTTCCGCTTGTGACGACATGATTCGAGACCATGTGGTGTCATGCATTGTGAATGTCGAGTTGAAAAAGAAGTTGTTATCAGATCCAAAACTAACTTTGGGTACGTGTCTAGAAATTGCAGCTTTGTTTGAGGCAACCCAGCAACAAGCTTCGTCTATGGGTTCCGCTGCTACTATGAGTACGCCATCAGAAGTCCACGGTCTCTCTCGTAAGCACTCGGTGTCGCAGAAACAACAGAAACAACATTTCAAGTCGTCAGGTAAAACGGATCGTGCACGTAAACCTGAGAGAGTGTCTGTTTCGGCTTCTACTTCCTCTGAGCGTCTCTGTTTTAGGTGTGGCAAGGCTGGTCATTTCGGTCGGGATCCGAGTTGCCCGGCGCGTGGCAAAACCTGCAGCAAGTGTCAGCGTCGTGGGCATTTCGCTTCCTGCTGCAATTCACAGTCGACGTCCCACATTTCGTCCGAGCCAGAGTCACTGTTCGACTCTTTCAGCATTGGGGCTCTCACCGACGATGTGTCACCTACAGATAAGTGTCAACCTAAGTCTAAGTCTCATCCTCCCATGATGATTGATGTATGCGTTAATGATGTAGTCTGTCCTATGGAAGTCGACACTGGTGCTGAAGTTTCAGTATTCCCTAGTTCTGTTTGGAAGGAGCAGTTTCCCAATGTTTGTCTGCATAAGTCTCGTGCGTCTCTGCATTCGTATGGTGGTAGTTCCCTATCTGTAGTGGGTGAATGCATTGTCGATGTACGTTACGAGTCTCACCAGTTTCGAGACACCATCATTGTTGTAGAGGGCAGTGGTCAGCCCCTGTTTGGTCGGAACTGGATGTCCCACGTCATTATAGACTGGTCAAATTTTCGTAATGCACAGGTCAATGCATTGTCGCTAGATAGTCTATTGCGTCAGTTCCCTACCGTATTTCAAGAGGGTTTGGGCACTATTAAGGGTCAGTCTGCCAAGATCCAGCTTCAAGGGTCACCCACCCCCAAGAGTTGCCGTTCCCGTCCTGTCCCGTACGCCGTCCGCACTAAGGTTGAAGCTGAGTTGTTGCGTCTAGAGGGGGAGGGGATCATCAAGCCGGTCTCTAACGCTGATTGGGCATCCCCCGTGGTGGTTGTAAAAAAGAAAAACAACACCATCCGCTTATGTGCAGATTTTAAAGTGTCTATCAACAAGCACATTGAAGCTAACCAACATCCCATTCCCAACCCGAGTGATTTGTTATCGCAATTATCTGGTGGATCTGTATTTTCCAAATTAGATCTCAGCCAAGCTTATGCTCAGCTACCGCTCGACGACGACAGTAGGCGCTATTGTGTCATCGCTACGCACAAGGGTTTGTACGAATTCACGAGACTACCCTTCGGCGTCAGCTCAGCTCCGTCAATCTGGCAGAAGGCCATCGAGCAGGTTCTACAAGGTCTAGAAGGTGTCGTTGTCTATTTCGACGATATTCTCATTTGTGGTAACACCCAGCAACAACACGACGAGCGTCTACGAGCAGTCCTCCGTCGTTTCGCTGAGACAGGGCTGCGGTTGCGTCGTGAGAAATGTGAGATTGGTAAGCCACAAGTTAGTTACCTTGGGTTTACATTGTCGAAGGCTGGTCTACAGCCCAGTCGGGATAAGGTTTTGAGTATTCAGAATGCCCCGAGGCCCCATGATGTATCTACCTTGCGTTCGTTTCTGGGGCTCGTGAATTTCTTTGGGCGGTTTATCCCCAATTGCTCCTCGCTGTTACAACCCCTGAACGAGTTGTTAAAGAAGGATGTAGTCCTTAATTGGACGGATGCATGTCAGTCGGCGTTTGCCAAAGTTAAAGAGTTTCTCATCGCCGATCCTGTTATGGCCCATTATGATGTTACCTTACCACTGATCTTACAGTGTGATGCATCCCCTGCTGGTATTGGTGCTGCTCTTCTACATGTCATGCCGGACCAGTCTGTTCGGCCAGTTGTATATGTGTCACGTGCTTTGTCCAAAGCAGAGAGTCATTACAGCCAGATTGAGCGAGAGGCGTTAGCTATCGTGTTTGCTGTTCGTCGTTTACACCAGTACATCTACGGTCGTAAGTTCATTCTGCGCACCGACCATAAGCCTCTAATCAAGATCTTCGGCGAGCACGAGTCGTTAAGTAAGACGTCGGCATCCCGTCTACAGCGCTGGGCCGTGATTCTCGCTGAGTACGACTACGTCATTGAGCATATTCCAGGTAAAGAAAATGTGCTAGCAGATTGTCTGTCTCGTCTGCCTTTGCCATTGTCTGCTGCTGAAATGTCTGCAATTGTTAGTGCAGTCAGCAGCCATGCATTTGACCCCTGCGAGTTAATGCCTCTACAGAGTTCGGATGTTGCCAAGGCTAGCACATACGATTCTGACATTTCGTTAGTAATGTCCTACACGCTGCATGGTTGGCCTGCTACAGTTCCCGACAGGTTAGTGCCGTATAGCCGCATCCGGAATGACCTAAGTATTGAGCATGGTTGTTTGCTGTGGGGTTCCCGCGTCATTATTCCAGTTCAGTTTAGACGCCACTTATTAGAGGAACTGCATTCTTCGCATGCCGGTGTGTCTCGAATGAAGAGTGTGGCACGAAGCATTTTCTGGTGGCCAGGCTTAGATGCCGATATCGAACGATTAGCTGCCGATTGCAGTCTTTGTCAGGAAAGCTCTAATCTGCCCCGCAAGGACTCTGTCCACCATTGGGCATACCCCAATGCTGCTTTTGAGCGTGTGCATCTTGATTTTGCTGAGTTCGAGTCGCAACAGTTTCTGGTCATAGTCGATGCATTCTCTAAGTGGATTGATGTATACGAGCTTGGTTCCTCCGCTACGACTACTAAAACAGTGAACTGTTTGCTACGGTTCATCAGTACATTTGGTATTCCTAGAGTACTAGTATCTGATAACGGCCCACAATTTGCCTCTGGCGAGTTTGCTGCTTTCTGTGCTCAGAATGGTATTAAGCATCATCGTACACCGCCCTATCATCCCGCCAACAACGGACAGTGTGAGCGGATGGTGCAAGAGCTGAAGAAGGCTTTGCGAGCAAGACCTCACCATGTGTCTGTATGTGTGCAAGTGTCTCGCTTTCTTTTCGATTACAGAAACACGCCGCACAGCGCTACTAAGCAGAGTCCCGCGAGTATTCTATTGAAGAAAGCTCCGACCACGCGTTTGGCGCTGCTGCAACCCAGTTTCGCCACGGCTATGCAGCAGGCCCATGAACTCGACAGTACTGCGTCTCGTGAGTTCACAGTGAATGCACCAGTGTGGGTGTACAATGCTCGTCCTGGCTCTAAGCCGAAGTGGCTAGAAGGTTTAATATGCAAACGACTCAGTACGATGACCTATTCTGTGATGGTAGGAGGAGTCGTCCGAAAAGTGCACATTGATCACTTGAAGTCCAGAACAGCTGAGTCTGCTAGTTTATCGGCCGAGTCCGACGCCATTCCGACAGTGTCTACGCCGAGTGTTACTCCGACAGTCGCTACAGCAACGCCGACTCCTGAGTTACCAGCTTCACCGCCGGCTCAGTCGTCTCCTGTCATTGATACAGCAGCTACTACTATGCCTAGTACGCCTACTACTGCTACGTCTAGTACGCCTACTTCTGCTACGCCTAGTATGTCTACTACTGCTGCTACTCCTGTTAGTATGCCTGATACCGTTCAAGTCGCTACTCCTGTTAGTATGCCTGATGTGTCAGTGCCTGTTTCGTCAACTCCAGTGTCACCGCGCTATCCGTCAAGAATGCGCCGTGCCCCTGATCGCTTAAATTTGTGAGTATTGAGTGACTATCTTAGCATTAGTCATGAGTGACTCGCCTAGCAATTCTGACATTGCCTTAGAGTGTCCTATTCCACTATTTGTCTGTAATAGCATAGTATTGTATCATAGTTAGTCGGATATAAGGATTTGCTCTTGTCTATAGTTGTTTGGATGCATTTTGATTATATATGCCTTATTGCTATTCCCACTTCACTACTTCTTTAAGGAAGGAGGATTGTTATAGATTGATCTATTATTAATATTAGTCGTACGATCTACGATCTACGTTCTGCTACGTGTGTCGTTCTACGTGTGTTCTACGTGTGTCGTTCTACGCTCCTTTGATGCATGCATGACGAAGAGTGATAATGTCTTACCTCATTATGAATCAGTCTTCTTCTGCATTACGTCTGCATGGCTGACGTGTGTCTTACTTTGGTACGAGCTGACGAGGCCTATACTGTCGTGTCATAGCGCCATTAGTGCCACGACAGCACTGACGTGTCTCTGCTGCTTATCTCTCCATGATTGCCATTTTACATGTTCACTTCTAAATTATCCTAGAACAAACCAGATGGTGTTTCCTGCTGTGGTATACGCGAGTTGCATGGAATGAATCTTGCGTGCGTACGTTATAACAGTTCACTTCATAGAATACCCCTTACATTGTCCACAAACACTGGTCTTTTGTAGGTGTGAAATAGGGGTGAAGTGTTCATCCTTTCTTTTAAAATCATCCAAAGAACATTTTCATATTGCTAGGTTCACGATTTCATGTATGCACACATTCACATTCGTACCCCAATGACCTCTCTACCATATATGCACGTACACACGCACTCATGTACACATTACTGCATGTACCCTTTTCCATTCTCGCTTCTCGGATACGTTACGACGTCTTGCTCCCGCACTCTTCCTTTTCCGCATTACCGTATAATTCGTTTGGCCTGGGTAGCTGCATTCGCGCTTTCGTACCCGTACCGTACCATCAAAGGCAGCTGGCCACCATATTCAAACAGGGCTTTCAACTGTAAGTTCATAACGTGAAGTAATTTGGAAGAATGTGAATGCATGGGAAGTAGCCCGGAAGTGGCCTGGGAATGTCAGGATCGGGTAGATTGCATTGTTTTAATGGGCTCTTTTGTTGTCTAAAAAGAATGCTGAGATCATCAACAGAGGACTATGAGGAAGATCAACATGACAGGAGTGACAGTGTTGAAGCTCTGAGCAGATGGCATCAGCAGGAGTGCCTACACAGAGCGTAGAAGATGGCAGAAGAGAGGTCCCGCCGCCTCGAGAGTCGCTGTGCTCGCGAAAGGCTACGCCGACAGTAAGAAACGACGGAGCAAATATCCCGTCATTTGGAGAGTCGCCGACTTCGTGACAAGATGTGTCGACAGCAAGACACCGCAGAACAGGCATCCAGTCGGCAGGAGAAAAGACGTGATCATGTCCGAACTTGTTACGTATGCGGTGACTGCGGTCCGTAGGCGTAGGGTCGTCATCACGTGACGCACCATGTCTGGCCCTATCCCGTACATGTCCCGTGCCATGCCGGCAAATACTGCTGGCAACATGTTGAAACAGGGCTTTCAAATGCAGGATCACAAAGTGACACAGCTTGGTAGAATGTGTATGTACATGTACGCGATGTGTATTTTAAGGGAATGCATGCAGCGCAGGGCGAGAGTGGGGGTTCAAAACCAGGTAAGGTGTCGAAAAACAAAGGATATAAAAAATTAAATTAGCTAGTCTCATAGCATAATGCGAGAAAGCTTGAAAGTGCATGGCCCTCGCTATGCTTTTTTTGCCTAGGTCATCATGCTTGTTAATCGAACTGATGGAAACGTTTTCGCAATACAATGAGCCGATGATTGTACTTCGAAGTATTGCAAAAACGTTTCCATCAGTTCCAATAACATGCATGATGACCAAGGAAAAAACAGCCAAGCGAGGGCCTGAGCTTTCAAGCTCCCTCGGTTTAATTTTTTACATAGAACACACACCCGGCGAGAGAGAGAGAGAGAGAGAGAGAGAGAGAGAGAGAGAGAGAGAGAGAGAGAGAGAGAGAGAGAGAGAGACACACACACACACACACACACACACAGATCGTGAAAGACAGGGTGGTAGCCATCGACGAATGCATACCTTGTTCTTGTCGACAAACCCGGTTACGCGGTAGACCACCTTGCCAGCATAGTGGCTTATCTGGAACTCGGTGTCTCTGTCCAGTTGCTTGCTGGATGCACCAGGTGTCTTGGCACTGTCAAAGTGTTTGTGATTGGAGAGAACCTTGTTCATGTGAACCAAAATGTTCTGAACGAGAACAGACAAAAAATGTCAAAAATCAAAAATGTCGGGAAGGTGGCACGCACACACATGGCAAAAAGCCAGAAATCAGCTACATAATAGTACTCTGCTGCAGAATGTTTGAAGAGAGACAACAAAGAGAAAAGCGGGGGGGGGGGGGGGGGGGGGGGAGGGGGAGGGGGCATGCAAGATCCGAAACAGGGGATGTGTGTGTCCCATTTTTGGACTTTTTTTAAATGATGCGCAACACAAGCAAAAAGTCGCATTGTGGCTGCTGTGTGCAGCTAGCTGTGTAATGTGTCTGGAGCAGGGTGGTGTGAATACGTCCACAGTACAATCATAGGGGTGTACCTTGTCTTCTTGCGTGCCCGGTCTCAAACACTCCTCGTCCAGCATAGCAATGATACCCTGGTTGGTAAGATAGACGCAACAGTACATGTACAAAATTATGTTCACGAATGGAAGAGGTGAAGCCAGATGTGAATCTGATGAGGCCTTTCGTACCAATACTTCTCACATCAGTCCATACATGGTGATGATTGTGACGAAGCAAAACAATGTCAATTTATACAGCATGTTCGCGGTGAAATGGTGATGAAACGTACACAGGTTGAATGATGGTTCTAATTGTGCCAGAGAGTGCATAATGATGTGTTCACACAACACGGCATGGACACACGCAAGCATTGAAACACACACACACACATACACACACATACAATCACATTCCCACACACAAACACACACACACACACACACACACATACACACACACACACACACACACACACACACACACACACACATACACACACACACACACACACACACACACACACACACACACACACACACACACACACACAAAGCATGACACACATGGAGAGTGAGGCAATATTCCGGACCACATCAATGTAAACATCGTCCTGTGAAACTGTTGGTGCAAGAAAAGATATTTGAAGCCACCATACCTTAGTTGGGTCCTCGATGAGATTGCAGATAGCCTCGTTGTTGAAGTAATCAACGTTGACCCAGGGAATCTCCTCCTTGGCGTACTCATCCTGAGAAGAGAAACATACGGACAGCCATAGGCATTCATATACACATACAGGCATGCTCACAAACTCGCGTACACGCACGCGCACGCACGGGCACGTACACGCACGCACACCCCCCCCCCCACACACACACACATACACACACACATGAACAACATTGAACCAAGAAACAACTTCCGTTAGACAAACCACACGTAATGTAAAATTAACCAATTAATCTGATTTGAATTCAGTTAGGTGAGCTCTAGACCAAGCTAGGCTTCAACTTGATATCACTTTGTCATACACTCGCACAGACATCGGCAGGTTCTGGTTGTAAAGTTTTGCAAGATGTAGTGCGGGCGGCAAAGTGAGTATACAGAAGCCCGGACTATGTTCGAGTGCTGTGTGTGTGTGTGTGTGTGTGTGTGTGTGTGTGTGTTGGGGGTGGGGGCTATGTTCACACACATTATGAACATGTGCAAAAACTGACTACAGTACTGTCGGGCGCCGAAGAACGGAGCGCCGAAGAACGGAGCGCCGAAGAACGGAGCGCCGAAGAACGGAGCGCCGAAGAACGGAGCGCCGAAGAACGGAGCGCCGAAGAACGGAGCGCCGAAGAACGGAGCGCCGAAGAACGGAGCGCCGAAGAACGGAGCGCCGAAGAACGGAGCGCCGAAGAACGGAGCGCCGAAGAACGGAGCGCCGAAGAACGGAGCGCCGAAGAACGGAGCGCCGAAGAACGGAGCGCCGAAGAACGGAGCGCCGAAGAACGGAGCGCCGAAGAACGGAGCGCCGAAGAACGGAGCGCCGAAGAACGGAGCGCCGAAGAACGGAGCGCCGAAGAACGGAGCGCCGAAGAACGGAGCGCCGAAGAACGGAGCGCCGAAGAACGGAGCGCCGAAGAACGGAGCGCCGAAGAACGGAGCGCCGAAGAACGGAGCGCCGAAGAACGGAGCGCCGAAGAACGGAGCGCCGAAGAACGGAGCGCCGAAGAACGGAGCGCCGAAGAACGGAGCGCCGAAGAACGGAGCGCCGAAGAACGGAGCGCCGAAGAACGGAGCGCCGAAGAACGGAGCGCCGAAGAACGGAGCGCCGAAGAACGGAGCGCCGAAGAACGGAGCGCCGAAGAACGGAGCGCCGAAGAACGGAGCGCCGAAGAACGGAGCGCCGAAGAACGGAGCGCCGAAGAACGGAGCGCCGAAGAACGGAGCGCCGAAGAACGGAGCGCCGAAGAACGGAGCGCCGAAGAACGGAGCGCCGAAGAACGGAGCGCCGAAGAACGGAGCGCCGAAGAACGGAGCGCCGAAGAACGGAGCGCCGAAGAACGGAGCGCCGAAGAACGGAGCGCCGAAGAACGGAGCGCCGAAGAACGGAGCGCCGAAGAACGGAGCGCCGAAGAACGGAGCGCCGAAGAACGGAGCGCCGAAGAACGGAGCGCCGAAGAACGGAGCGCCGAAGAACGGAGCGCCGAAGAACGGAGCGCCGAAGAACGGAGCGCCGAAGAACGGAGCGCCGAAGAACGGAGCGCCGAAGAACGGAGCGCCGAAGAACGGAGCGCCGAAGAACGGAGCGCCGAAGAACGGAGCGCCGAAGAACGGAGCGCCGAAGAACGGAGCGCCGAAGAACGGAGCGCCGAAGAACGGAGCGCCGAAGAACGGAGCGCCGAAGAACGGAGCGCCGAAGAACGGAGCGCCGAAGAACGGAGCGCCGAAGAACGGAGCGCCGAAGAACGGAGCGCCGAAGAACGGAGCGCCGAAGAACGGAGCGCCGAAGAACGGAGCGCCGAAGAACGGAGCGCCGAAGAACGGAGCGCCGAAGAACGGAGCGCCGAAGAACGGAGCGCCGAAGAACGGAGCGCCGAAGAACGGAGCGCCGAAGAACGGAGCGCCGAAGAACGGAGCGCCGAAGAACGGAGCGCCGAAGAACGGAGCGCCGAAGAACGGAGCGCCGAAGAACGGAGCGCCGAAGAACGGAGCGCCGAAGAACGGAGCGCCGAAGAACGGAGCGCCGAAGAACGGAGCGCCGAAGAACGGAGCGCCGAAGAACGGAGCGCCGAAGAACGGAGCGCCGAAGAACGGAGCGCCGAAGAACGGAGCGCCGAAGAACGGAGCGCCGAAGAACGGAGCGCCGAAGAACGGAGCGCCGAAGAACGGAGCGCCGAAGAACGGAGCGCCGAAGAACGGAGCGCCGAAGAACGGAGCGCCGAAGAACGGAGCGCCGAAGAACGGAGCGCCGAAGAACGGAGCGCCGAAGAACGGAGCGCCGAAGAACGGAGCGCCGAAGAACGGAGCGCCGAAGAACGGAGCGCCGAAGAACGGAGCGCCGAAGAACGGAGCGCCGAAGAACGGAGCGCCGAAGAACGGAGCGCCGAAGAACGGAGCGCCGAAGAACGGAGCGCCGAAGAACGGAGCGCCGAAGAACGGAGCGCCGAAGAACGGAGCGCCGAAGAACGGAGCGCCGAAGAACGGAGCGCCGAAGAACGGAGCGCCGAAGAACGGAGCGCCGAAGAACGGAGCGCCGAAGAACGGAGCGCCGAAGAACGGAGCGCCGAAGAACGGAGCGCCGAAGAACGGAGCGCCGAAGAACGGAGCGCCGAAGAACGGAGCGCCGAAGAACGGAGCGCCGAAGAACGGAGCGCCGAAGAACGGAGCGCCGAAGAACGGAGCGCCGAAGAACGGAGCGCCGAAGAACGGAGCGCCGAAGAACGGAGCGCCGAAGAACGGAGCGCCGAAGAACGGAGCGCCGAAGAACGGAGCGCCGAAGAACGGAGCGCCGAAGAACGGAGCGCCGAAGAACGGAGCGCCGAAGAACGGAGCGCCGAAGAACGGAGCGCCGAAGAACGGAGCGCCGAAGAACGGAGCGCCGAAGAACGGAGCGCCGAAGAACGGAGCGCCGAAGAACGGAGCGCCGAAGAACGGAGCGCCGAAGAACGGAGCGCCGAAGAACGGAGCGCCGAAGAACGGAGCGCCGAAGAACGGAGCGCCGAAGAACGGAGCGCCGAAGAACGGAGCGCCGAAGAACGGAGCGCCGAAGAACGGAGCGCCGAAGAACGGAGCGCCGAAGAACGGAGCGCCGAAGAACGGAGCGCCGAAGAACGGAGCGCCGAAGAACGGAGCGCCGAAGAACGGAGCGCCGAAGAACGGAGCGCCGAAGAACGGAGCGCCGAAGAACGGAGCGCCGAAGAACGGAGCGCCGAAGAACGGAGCGCCGAAGAACGGAGCGCCGAAGAACGGAGCGCCGAAGAACGGAGCGCCGAAGAACGGAGCGCCGAAGAACGGAGCGCCGAAGAACGGAGCGCCGAAGAACGGAGCGCCGAAGAACGGAGCGCCGAAGAACGGAGCGCCGAAGAACGGAGCGCCGAAGAACGGAGCGCCGAAGAACGGAGCGCCGAAGAACGGAGCGCCGAAGAACGGAGCGCCGAACAACGGAGCGCCGAAGAACGGAGCGCCGAAGAACGGAGCGCCGAAGAACGGAGCGCCGAAGAACGGAGCGCCGAAGAACGGAGCGCCGAAGAACGGAGCGCCGAAGAACGGAGCGCCGAAGAACGGAGCGCCGAAGAACGGAGCGCCGAAGAACGGAGCGCCGAAGAACGGAGCGCCGAAGAACGGAGCGCCGAAGAACGGAGCGCCGAAGAACGGAGCGCCGAAGAACGGAGCGCCGAAGAACGGAGCGCCGAAGAACGGAGCGCCGAACAACGGAGCGCCGAACAACGGAGCGCCGAAGAACGGAGCGCCGAAGAACGGAGCGCCGAAGAACGGAGCGCCGAAGAACGGAGCGCCGAAGAACGGAGCGCCGAAGAACGGAGCGCCGAAGAACGGAGCGCCGAAGAACGGAGCGCCGAAGAACGGAGCGCCGAAGAACGGAGCGCCGAAGAACGGAGCGCCGAAGAACGGAGCGCCGAACAACGGAGCGCCGAAGAACGGAGCGCCGAAGAACGGAGCGCCGAAGAACGGAGCGCCGAAGAACGGAGCGCCGAAGAACGGAGCGCCGAAGAACGGAGCGCCGAACAACGGAGCGCCGAAGAACGGAGCGCCGAACAACGGAGCGCCGAAGAACGGAGCGCCGAAGAACGGAGCGCCGAAGAACGGAGCGCCGAAGAACGGAGCGCCGAAGAACGGAGCGCCGAAGAACGGAGCGCCGAAGAACGGAGCGCCGAAGAACGGAGCGCCGAAGAACGGAGCGCCGAAGAACGGAGCGCCGAAGAACGGAGCGCCGAAGAACGGAGCGCCGAAGAACGGAGCGCCGAAGAACGGAGCGCCGAAGAACGGAGCGCCGAAGAACGGAGCGCCGAAGAACGGAGCGCCGAACAACGGAGCGCCGAAGAACGGAGCGCCGAACAACGGAGCGCCGAACAACGGAGCGCCGAACAACGGAGCGCCGAACAACGGAGCGCCGAAGAACGGAGCGCCGAACAACGGAGTGCCGAAGAACGGAGCGCCGAAGAACGGAGCGCCGAACAACGGAGCGCCGAAGAACGGAGCGCCGAACAACGGAGCGCCGAAGAACGGAGCGCCGAACAACGGAGCGCCGAAGAACGGAGCGCCGAACAACGGAGCGCCGAAGAACTGAGCGCCGAAGAACGGAGCGCCGAAGAACGGAGCGCCGAAGAACGGAGCGCCGAAGAACGGAGCGCCGAACAACGGAGCGCCGAAGAACGGAGCGCCGAAGAACGGAGCGCCGAAGAACGGAGCGCCGAAGAACGGAGCGCCGAACAACGGAGCGCCGAAGAACGGAGCGCCGAACAACGGAGCGCCGAAGAACGGAGCGCCGAAGAACGGAGCGCCGAAGAACGGAGCGCCGAAGAACGGAGCGCCGAAGAACGGAGCGCCGAAGAACGGAGCGCCGAAGAACGGAGCGCCGAAGAACGGAGCGCCGAAGAACGGAGCGCCGAAGAACGGAGCGCCGAAGAACGGAGCGCCGAAGAACGGAGCGCCGAAGAACGGAGCGCCGAACAACGGAGCGCCGAACAACGGAGCGCCGAACAACGGAGCGCCGAACAACGGAGCGCCGAACAACGGAGCGCCGAACAACGGAGCGCCGAAGAACGGAGCGCCGAACAACGGAGTGCCGAAGAACGGAGCGCCGAAGAACGGAGCGCCGAACAACGGAGCGCCGAAGAACGGAGCGCCGAACAACGGAGCGCCGAAGAACGGAGCGCCGAACAACGGAGCGCCGAAGAACGGAGCGCCGAACAACGGAGCGCCGAAGAACGGAGCGCCGAAGAACGGAGCGCCGAAGAACGGAGCGCCGAAGAACGGAGCGCCGAAGAACGGAGCGCCGAACAACGGAGCGCCGAAGAACGGAGCGCCGAACAACGGAGCGCCGAAGAACGGAGCGCCGAACAACGGAGCGCCGAAGAACGGAGCGCCGAAGAACGGAGCGCCGAAGAACGGAGCGCCGAAGAACGGAGCGCCGAAGAACGGAGCGCCGAAGAACGGAGCGCCGAAGAACGGAGCGCCGAAGAACGGAGCGCCGAAGAACGGAGCGCCGAAGAACGGAGCGCCGAACAACGGAGCGCCGAAGAACGGAGCGCCGAACAACGGAGCGCCGAAGAACGGAGCGCCGAACAACGGAGCGCCGAAGAACGGAGCGCCGAACAACGGAGCGCCGAAGAACTGAGCGCCGAAGAACGGAGCGCCGAAGAACGGAGCGCCGAAGAACGGAGCGCCGAAGAACGGAGCGCCGAACAACGGAGCGCCGAAGAACGGAGCGCCGAAGAACGGAGCGCCGAAGAACGGAGCGCCGAAGAACGGAGCGCCGAACAACGGAGCGCCGAAGAACGGAGCGCCGAACAACGGAGCGCCGAAGAACGGAGCGCCGAAGAACGGAGCGCCGAAGAACGGAGCGCCGAAGAACGGAGCGCCGAAGAACGGAGCGCCGAAGAACGGAGCGCCGAAGAACGGAGCGCCGAAGAACGGAGCGCCGAAGAACGGAGCGCCGAAGAACGGAGCGCCGAAGAACGGAGCGCCGAAGAACGGAGCGCCGAAGAACGGAGCGCCGAACAACGGAGCGCCGAACAACGGAGCGCCGAACAACGGAGCGCCGAACAACGGAGCGCCGAACAACGGAGCGCCGAACAACGGAGCGCCGAAGAACGGAGCGCCGAACAACGGAGTGCCGAAGAACGGAGCGCCGAAGAACGGAGCGCCGAACAACGGAGCGCCGAAGAACGGAGCGCCGAACAACGGAGCGCCGAAGAACGGAGCGCCGAACAACGGAGCGCCGAAGAACGGAGCGCCGAACAACGGAGCGCCGAAGAACGGAGCGCCGAAGAACGGAGCGCCGAAGAACGGAGCGCCGAAGAACGGAGCGCCGAAGAACGGAGCGCCGAACAACGGAGCGCCGAAGAACGGAGCGCCGAACAACGGAGCGCCGAAGAACGGAGCGCCGAACAACGGAGCGCCGAAGAACGGAGCGCCGAAGAACGGAGCGCCGAAGAACGGAGCGCCGAAGAACGGAGCGCCGAAGAACGGAGCGCCGAAGAACGGAGCGCCGAAGAACGGAGCGCCGAAGAACGGAGCGCCGAAGAACGGAGCGCCGAAGAACGGAGCGCCGAACAACGGAGCGCCGAAGAACGGAGCGCCGAACAACGGAGCGCCGAAGAACGGAGCGCCGAACAACGGAGCGCCGAAGAACGGAGCGCCGAAGAACGGAGCGCCGAAGAACGGAGCGCCGAAGAACGGAGCGCCGAAGAACGGAGCGCCGAAGAACGGAGCGCCGAAGAACGGAGCGCCGAAGAACGGAGCCCCGAAGAACGGAGCGCCGAAGAACGGAGCGCCGAAGAACGGAGCGCCGAAGAACGGAGCGCCGAAGAACGGAGCGCCGAAGAACGGAGCGCCGAAGAACGGAGCGCCGAAGAACGGAGCGCCGAAGAACGGAGCGCCGAAGAACGGAGCCCCGAAGAACGGAGCGCCGAAGAACGGAGCGCCGAAGAACGGAGCGCCGAAGAACGGAGCGCCGAAGAACGGAGCGCCGAAGAACGGAGCGCCGTAGAACGGAGCGCCGAAGAACGGAGCGCCGAAGAACGGAGCGCCGAAGAACGGAGCCCCGAAGAACGGAGCGCCGAAGAACGGAGCGCCGAAGAACGGAGCGCCGAAGAACGGAGCGCCGAAGAACGGAGCGCCGAAGAACGGAGCGCCCAAGAACGGAGCGCCCAAGAACGGAGCGCCGAAGAGCAGCCATGATAGAATTCCCACAAGCACAGCAAAGCAATGTATACACGGTGACTCAACTGTGCATAGACTGTAATACATGAAAATAAGAACGGCCTAGGCTACGAGGCTGATCCCCCAGTTCTTCGACCACCGACAGTACTGTAACGCCGGAAGGGTACATGTGGTCTATATCCCTCCGGTATCCCGTACACGTTCAGTTCACATCCTGTTGTGAGTCCGTTATGACTGCTAGCAGATCAATGGAACAGTCATGTTGAGGAATGATTCATTTCCCTTGGTAGTCATCTGTTTGAGGAAAAGATGCAAGCGGGAAACGTCTGAAGAAAACATTGACTGTCACCAGCAGGACACGAACCAGGGACCTTCGCTAGAGGCCAGCAATTGCAGGACCCGAACCAGGGACCTCCGCTAGAGGCCAGCGATTGCAGGACTCGAACCAGGGACCTTCGCTAGAGGCCAGCAATTGCAGGACCCGAACCAGGGACCTTCGCTAGAGGCCAGCAATGCTCTAAACACTGAGCTATGGCGTAGTCGTCATCCCGGCAAGCAGAGACTGTTCCACGTGTTCTTCACCTTCATAGTCTGATACTTAAGGTAGGATCAACCACTAACAGAACACCTGTCACATCTCAATTCATACGTCCATTGAAAGTTTACTTTCATGGCCAATGTTAAGATGATCCTTACCCTGAGAGATTCCTTGGCTCAATGTTTTCTTCACGCCCTGTATCCAGGTCATCTAAATTGTTCTTAAATCTTTTCTCCCTTTCCATCGTCATCATAACATTGGGCATGATTGCCCGTTTGACTTGCGATGTAAATTAAAAACAAATGCAATACAAAAATACTTGGAGATCACTCGGAGCATAAAATTCGGACCGGAAACTTTGATATTCTTCACTTCCACACTGAGGGCACAGACAGGGCAGAGACAGTACACTTGGAGCAGTGCTTTACAAGGCCTTACCTGCTCTCGCTTCAAAACAAGCTCGATGACCAGCTGCTGTAGCTTCTCATTGCAATAGTTGATGCACAGCTGCTCAAAGCTGTAGTTGTACACACCATGCACACGCACACGCACGCACGCACGCACGCACACAAATACACACACACACACACACACACACACACACACACACTCACACACACACACACACACTACTACTACTATAGCATGACTGCCCATTGGGCAATGTCACCCCCGGAGGGGGCCAGAGACACACACACAATCACACACACACACACTCACACACACACACACACACACACACACACACACACACACACACACACACACACTCACACACACACTCACACACACACACACACACACACACACACACACACACACACCATGTACCATATATACGCCCGTCGCAAGAGAAGCACGCAAATCTGCAAATGCACTCGATGTGCACCCACAGATTTTCTCTTATAGCAACAAAAGCGGACAAGATCTGAATGGCACACAAACACACCATCACACAGGCTGATGGCAAGTGCAGGGTAATGGCACAATACAATCATTACGACGGAGCGAAGACATCCACACCATGTTGTCTTGTCTGTATTCACGAGTGCCTGGCAGATGAGAACAGACCAATGTTTCATCATTCCTCACCTGTTGGACTGGAATATCTCAAAGCCGTAGATATCCAGAACGCCAATGACTGTTCCCTTACTGCCTGGGTCCAAGGTAGCTGCGACGGAGCGGTTTATACGGGCAACCAGCCATGTGAACAGACTGTCGTACAGAGACTGTAGGAAGCGTGTGTGCGTGTGTGCGTGTATGTGCGTGTGTTTGTGTGTGCGTGTGTGTGTATGTGTGTGTGTGTGCGTGTGTGTGTGTGTGTGTGTGTGTGTGTGTGTGTGTGTGTGTGCCAGAGGAAGAGGGCAGAGAGAGAGAGAATACAGGGGAAGAAAAACAGATGAACCCATGAACCAAACAATTGTCGGCTGATAGAGTTACGAGACTACAATGGAATACAAGAAACCTCCGATACTTATCATCCTCACCACAACGTTGGAAAAGGTAGCCTATGCATTGTTGCCTATGTTTGAGGTGTGTAACAGGAGCTAGCTAACCGGATTTAGAAAGTCGGATAGGAAAACAGGATCACCAACTAGGATCTCAAAACAGCTCAGAAATAGTGGCTCGAGGCATGTGAAGACAAGAATGGAAAGGAAATCTAGTGCTCGGCATTAAAATGGTGGTCATGCCTAGTAAAAAGCTGTTCTAGTTTTCGACCTCCTGCAAGCCACGCAGGCATCCATTGGGGGACAAGACAACGGACTGATCAATTTACCTCGAGCACACACACTATAAAATTATGCAGCCGAGGGAAACAGTACACAGAGAGATACAGATGCGACAAACACTATACGCTACAGTCAACTTCGCTAATAACGACTGCAGGTATAACGACAATTCGCGAAGAATGACAGAATTTGCCAGCCCAGAGCAAAGTCCCATCTAATCGTAATACATATAATGAAACTGCGGGTATGAGGACACTTCGCGATTAAGGACACTTTTCTGATGCCCTCCGAGTGTCATTATACACCAGGGGTGTCGGAAGGTATTTTACTGTGGTAAAGTCAACCATCTGCAGTACAATTTACTGAAGGAGAAGGGGTGCTGAGCCGAAAATTTTGGAAATTTAGAGCCCAAATCCGTGCATTTTATTGATTCACGGGGTACTTGGGGCAAATAGCGGTACGGTCAATACCGTAGTGACCGTACCGTGTGCGACGCCCCTGTACACACAGTTGACTATACATCTCCCATTGCGCACACTGCAGTGCTAGGCACACTTACCTTGGCGAGTGCGTCGCGGGCAAACTTAGCCTGCGCTGCCGTCTGGCATGCCTTGACCGTTTCCTGCTTGCCGGCGATCGTACGTAACGTCAATGCCCGGTGTAATGACTCCACGTCGGTGTGAAGCAGCTTGGCAACCTGTAACCGGGGTAGAGGAAAGGGGGGGGGGAAATAGATACAAAGGTTATGCGATCACACCATGAGTTGAGATGCCTTGGCAAAGTCACGGACTTGTGGCACAGCGCTGCAGTTGCACTAGTGAATCACACTGTATCCATGGCGCCCATTAGAAAATCCGCCGGTAAATCATTTGCACAACCTCTATATTGGAATCGGATGGAGAGCCAAGGATTAAGTTATAGAAAAGTGAAAGGACCAAGGAACTACAAGTTACGCTCTACTGTCCACTAACACCATCAGTTACTAAACAATCAGCTCATGTGATAACATTGCAGGACACTGACCGACGGTACCTCCATAGGGTGTCTATAGGGCGTCATCGTTGTACAATACGTGCTCTTGATAAGGCTGTTGCAGCTGCTTACAACAGCAACTACTCTGGTTGGAGGGAAATCCCCATCACCCAGCGCACTAGGATGCATACAAT